TCAATTTAAATACAAGTATCTTTTATGTTGATTTTATAACTCTATGAAACACACAATTAACCATAAATTGCTGACAATAGCAAGATTAAATAGATATAGCTACCATTGCGTGGATGAGTGAAAATGTATACATTTTGAAGCTTTGTAATAAAAATGACGCTTTAAAAATGACGCGAAACATATTGAAAATATTGTATAGAAATGAATAATTGTGGAATGGAGATTACAAAAATCAATAAATTATTTCTTGTGAATTTATTAATCAGAAGAAAAAACACTCACTTTAGACGTTAGTATAAGTCCCAGTTTTAACATGCAGATTTCCTACGTATTTTCTCACTTTAAATCCACGTTAAAACTTCACCATTTATACAAACGTTTGTATATTTTTCCTTATCAGGCACATTTAGATGCACCTGTATATATTTTATCAATACCTTACCATTATAAGATGTGTTATTGACAAATAATCAGCAGTCACATACATTCTCTCTGTATGAGGAATAACTTCATACAATCGTAACTTTTCGGCTCTTTCCGCCAAACTTCGGAAAGAAAATCATTATTGGTCCGAATGTGATTTCAGATAGCAATAATTTAATCGATTTCATATACAAGGAACGCATTTAATGGTTCAATATTTTTACTGAGAATTTGCTTTTCATGACCGTCAATTATATATTGTACTATTGCAATATCAATATTTTTATTGAGAATTATAGTTTAATGTCAAAAGTTTTTTTCTCTGTAGCTTTGATTAAAGCTTTGATTGGAGCAGTTAAAGGGTTTAACCAAATATAGCCCTTTTCGTTTACAAACTTAACATAATTTTCTCCCGCGCACGCCTTAGTAATTCGTGCGCACGACATACTATTATTAGTTTCTCGTGCGCACGAGATAAATTAAAACAAACACACATGTCACCTCTGTGCCACCGTAGATTTATCAACAAGGTCAATAGTGTGATTTTCTTAATATTCAATTATGTAAACGATAGTAAATGTAAGTTTACAAGAGAAGAAAATGTTGAAAGAAAAATGATCACTTTAGTAATAAACATCAAGCATCAGCATATGTTGAGCAAGAAAGTTTTGGTAGAGGTTTACAGTTCTAGAGTTTATCTAGATTGTTATTAGGATATCCAATAATTCTGAATCTTATTTTTAGTGACTGTATGAGGCATGCAAGAACACAACAGCTGGCTTCTTTTCTACTGATAAAAAAAACATCCAAAAAATTTTCTTTTCGAGATATAATTTTAGTTTGAAATAACATTAATATTGGTACTAACCTTTAGTCCGCATTGCACATTTACATTTTCATAGAACAATTCCTGATTTAGTCCTCGCAAGTAGTATATTAAAACAATGTATTTCTCCATAAATATATCTGCATATAACGTAGCCATTAAGATATTATATTAAAGGCACAGAAATGAATATGTAATTTTTTCCGTATAAAAGGCAAACATACGTTTTATAATGTTTATTTTAAAAATGTATATATTCAGAGCATGCCTTTTTATCACACGAAGAAAGCAGTTTTGGATGTGAACCAATCTGAAATTAAAGTAGCTAAACAAAATACTAAATCAAATTATCCATTTTTCTAAAAGAAAAAGATGGCTATGCCATAGTAATTAATGTTCTTAAATTGTAACAGAATACTGAAAATAAATCTTTTAAGAAATAAGTAGAGAAGATTCAAGTTTTTACTATAAATACAGAATTTGACCTTAAGATTCGAATGAAAAAGTAGTCAAGCAAGATACCAGTGAAAATGCGGAAAATGTATTTCACTGTACTGAGAAATAGTGAAAATACGGAAAGTTAAAACATGCATTTTATTTCATCACTATTTCATATATAATAAAAATAATAGCGCTTTTGGGGCGTAATGGGCCTTTAACATGTTATGTCCACCTGGTCACAACATTTGCCCTTCAATGTTAATGGCACATTTACACCATCTGCTTCATAGTTACCAAATAATAAAACAATAACGCGATATCGATTTAAACAACTGTTTTGCAATTTCTATTAAGTTTTTGTTCTTTAATTGCTTTTTCGTAAAATAAATGCAGTAACATTTTGTTTTATTAGGCTGTGATGCTGTCTATATGTAGCTTTGTTTAATAATTATAATAATTTTGTATAATAATAAAAAGCATATGATTGACTGCTGGATGACCATGACACAATTTGTTTGCTAGTCCGCAATAAGAATACAAGTACATGTATTAGCTTTTCCTAAAAAAGCTATAGGAATTGCCGTTCAGTCTGGTATTCGAAAAAATATGATTCGTGAAAAAGAATATTTCCTGAAAGATAGATCTAAAGCTATAGTTTCTTTATCAAGGGAAATATTTCATGTATTATTTACCACTTAGGAGCCTACACACTGGTTTCGAGCTTTGAAGATGAAGAGAGCATTTCGATCAGGTCTATATATAGATTATCAGACAAAAACACATCGGATGGCATGCCCTATAGGGCATTTTCTCGTCCATTTTGTTATCATGTGGTATTAAATTCTCCATTTAATTTTTATTTCTCCACTTAGGGCGGGTGGTGTACGGGTAGAAATGATCAAATCTTGTTAAGTGTATGTCGGCGTTCAGGAAAGGCGACAACAAGTACACTGTATATACATAAAAAGATATTCACATACATATCCGATTAACACGTGGCTTTGATGCCCATTATAAAGTTCTCGCGTTATTACAAAACTTTTTTCATTGACATTTCCGACAGTGTTTTCTAAACACCGTATAAAGGGTGAACAAACATAACTCAACGCATCGAAAACAAAACATTTCGATGGTGAAAAGTCGAAATAACGAAACCACCTTCGTACTTTCGACTACTTTTCATCATCGTATTTTTGACTTCACCATCGTGGTTTCGTTATTTCGGCTTTTCATCGTCGTATTTTCGTGCTCCCGTTAATTCGAGGTATACGGGTGTCGGCTTAACCGTAGTTTTAATATTATACGGAGGTTGGTATGTGAATTATATATTTTACGTAAACAATAAACGTATAGAGGTTTTTTTTCTTTGTTTCTAGTTTTTATCATTTGTTTTGGTCGTACAAATATCTCGCTGGTCCAACTGGCTTTCTTCCTAGATAACTTCCTAGTAACTACCAACTTCTCCGCAAGTGACAGATGGGCTATATCTACTAATCCCACATGATTTCTGATTCAGTGCTGAGAGTCAAATAACCATTAGACTTGATGCCCTAGATCATTTTACATATAAAACTTACGCCTAGCTCGAAGATCGAACCAGAGACCCTAATCCTTAAATATTGAGCTAAGCTGGTGGACCTGTTATCAATAGATAGTACATTCAAATTACAACTATTTAGTTCACCATTGTTCAAGTGATGTTTCAATGGCCAAGTTTTTCTAAAGATTAATTCGTTCAATGTGATCGCATTTTTTTTTTTTCATTTGTACTAATTGATTAAAGTTGTCTCAGTTATCAATAATTCAAAAGATGGAATCAAGCGCAGCGAAGCAAGGGCCGCTTAGCGCTATATACATCATTGTGCACAGCTCATGTATATGCTATAGAAAGAGCATCGGAACACGAAACGAAGGGGGCGTAGCCCCCGAGTATAAATCAGATTGCCGAGTGTTTTGATGTTCTTTCTCTTTTGTATCATAGTCAAACATAAAAACCGTTCCATGTTGTCACAATATGAAACCCCAGAAAAAAATGCATTTTAATATGAAATTTCTGTCGCTTTCCCTTTCTCTGCCGTCACAATCCCCAGCAAAAAATGAGCCAATCATTGGGCATGCTCTGGAGTGCGGGTAACTTATGCCTGCACTCCAGTTAACGCACTGTGCATGTATAATTATGTATACGATTTAACTCTGACACATTTTCAACAGAAAGGTCCCCAAACTATGATACAATTATTTTATATTCTAACACGCTTCACACCATTCCCATATCAAACAGATAGGACAAACAGCATAAAAGGGAATGCTAACACGCAGGGAAATTTTCGTGCATATAGTAACACAATGCAATGTACATGTATATCGTTCAAATGCTTTGTAATTAATCACTCAGACCTATCGGCCTTCGTGATTTTAAACTCGATCCGTGCATTACTCTACAACAAACTGAGCAATTCACTCAATTTGATATAGATCTATTTCCTAAATGATGGCAAATGGAGCACCACTGGTGTACGTTCACGTAGAATAGAATTGTGACAGATCTACTTAATTCCAGTTGAAGAATTGCGCACATTTACCAGTTTTCATATAAAAAGACATAGCTAGTAATTTAATATGTTTACAGACACTTCTTACGCAACAATTCTTAAAATCGGATTTCATAAACATGGTCTAAAGGCTCATTATGCCCAAGAAATGCTTTTATTTTATTTTTAAAAAGCTTTTTAAATTTTGCTGTACTTTTATAGTATCCAAAAAGTTACTCAGTGGTAAATTACCTTAACCATCTTTTTTATATGTTGCGTTTTTTGCAATAAATACAGTTTTAGTGAATAAGTATTTCGTATAGAAGTCAGGTAACAAGTAGGCCTCAGCACGGATTTACTTTACATCCGTGGCCTCAGGGAAGAACCGTTTGCTGATGTTGTAAGAATTCGTGGTTCAACCCTTTTGCTACTTTTGTATTTATATTATGATAATATTATGTTATAAATGTGTAAAAAAAAGGATATAAAATATGTTTAAATCAACAAGTAGACCGCTAGCTGTATAGATATCATTCTCTAAAACCATTATTTAAACATCGTAAAATTCATGTTGGCCCTTTCGAAAGAAGTAGAAAAATAATTGTTTCTGAGGCATAATGCACCTTTAAAGTAACATTCTTAAATTTTATTTGATGAAACATAACCTTAAATTGGCCATATTTGACACGGTAATAAACTTGTACTGTTATGCAGAATATTTAGTACCACGTCACCGTTTACAAAAAATAATTTAGTTATGTAATACCTAATATAATTACTATAGTGATATATTTCTCACGCACCGTTCAATAATGAAAGTAAAAATGAACTTTGAACAGTTTTTTATCTTTATCTACTGTTTACTTGCTATTCTTAGGTTGACACGGAGTGAGAATTGTAAAAAAATTGATGATTGTAGCTGTCAAACATCAAAGGGGACTGTTGATTTACACAAGATTCCTAAGGAGTAAGTATACGGTCACATGACCACGTCTGTCAGTCATATGACATTTAACTGTGTTTATAAAGAAATATCTTTAAACCTATACTCAGCAAGTGAAACGATTAAAATAACAAAATTTATATCTTTATATTCAGTTAATATGTTGTACATGTGAAGTCCTTTTAATATGCATAATCACAGGCGCATGTGGGACAGATCTACATGTAGTCCAAATCAAATAAATTAAGAGTTTGATGATGTTGCTAGCAACGGGTGTCATATTTATAGGACTAGGGTCAGATCCTTTTCCCCCCTCCCCTTTTGTGATAAGCCCCTGTGAACTAATTTAGCAATGTTCTGTTAACTAATGAGGAAGTTAACTTACTTTCTCTTTCAGTTAAAAGAACATTGCTAAGCTACATGTAGTTTAGTTTCTATCCATATATCAATCCATCCATTAATGTCAATACCCTCGTGGGGACATAGACATGACTATAGAATAGTCACTTAAGAGACAGATATGAGATACAAAGGAATCCTGGAACCAGTCCCTATATAGCTCTTATTCAATTATTGGATAGACCTCTTGGTTCTTTTACATGCCCAGTTTATAGCGCTGATATACATGTACATGTATGCGAGGATTTCCTGGATTTCTTACAAGTACACCTCTAATTAGGTGGGAAACACTGAAAGTGTCCCTGAAAAATCCAATGTGTGTTTCCCAGGATCAAACCCGGGACCTCAGGAGTGACAGCCAGTTGTTAACTGAGCTATCATGCCACCCTATAAGTTTACAGAACATTTCTGTGAAGTAGTCTTTATCTTTAGTTAAAAGAACATTGCAAAATTGATTTATTATTTCTTTAGTTAACAGAAAATTGCTAATTAAGCTACTAGTTTACTTTCTCTTTAGTTAAAACTACAGACAAAATTAAATTAGTTTACAGGACATTGCTAAGCTATAGTTTACTTTCTCTTAGTTAAGGGACAAAATTTAATTAGTTTACAGGACATTGCTAAGCTAGTTTACTTTCTCTTTAGTTAACAGAAAAATTAAGTTTGTTTACAGAACATTGCTACATTAGTTTACTGTCTCTTTAAATAATAACGAACTTTGCTTAGTTTTTTACTTTCTCTAGAGTTAACAGAACAATGCAAACTAAGTTAGCAATGTTCTTTTAACTAAAGAGTAAGTAAACTATCTTAGCATTGTTCTCATTCAACTATGTGCTTTTAAAAGTTACTATTATCCCAGATATGTTGATTATGGATATACATGTATAATTGTTAAACACATTTTATTATTATGTCTAACGTGAAGTCTTTGTTCCTATTTTTAGCCAGGTTTTAACAATAATTGATAATAAGGGTTACACATATCAGTTTCGACCATGTGAGGCATTGTCAGGGACCTGTGGTGACGCAAGTGCAGGTGTAGCTGTAAGTTTTATCTTATAATTTTTTATAATTTAAAGGCAAATAATGCCTCAGAAAATATTTTTATCTCTTTTCTTTTGAAAGGGAAAACAAGTGATATATATATAATGTTTCAATAATGGATTTTAAAGATGACGTGAAATATTTATCATCTTTAGAAAATAAATCTAAAACAAATAATGAAAATTAGCATGAATCTTCTTTAAAATATAAATTGGTATACCAGCAATAGATTATAAGAATCTTACACCTGAGTTGGCGGTACAGACTGGAGTATCTACCTCGAGGGGTGAACTGTTCACAGCAGTAACGAGGCTCTGCCAGGTTTCTTCTATACAGTTATTGAGAGCTAGTCTAGATATTCCTGTTTGTGACGACAGCTGGTGTTTGATTCTTTTTCTGCATATAACAAATTAATGATATCAGGGAAAGAAATTACAAACCTGATGTTTTCATTTTACAATTATTTTTTTCTGATAGAAGAGTATGAAGTTACAACATCATTCATAATGGCACAGTGATGTCATCCTAAAAACGCGATCCATTCAAGCGCGTTGGAAAATGGAATGATGTCATTTATAACATGTGACTTTTCACACAACCATGGGGGATGTAAGACAGGTTTTTCTAGCACTGACGTAAATTGTAGATAATCCTGTCTGATATGCAAGAAAGTATCATATTTATTACAAGAAAAGTTCATTACCTAGAAAATGAAATGTGAATATAGTCTTGTAAGGTGTGTAGTGTCATATATCTATTTTGAGGTGTGAATCATGATATATCTATTTTTAGGTATGTCAGAGAGACAAAGACATAAGTTATGATGTAGGTGATTTGTCTTCTGTGGTATTCAGTGGAGATCCTGATTCAAGTTTAACAGCAAATTACACAACAGCTGGTGGTATAAAGTGAGTGTTATGTTGAAGGTAGTGAGTGTTACCTGTTGATAGTTGAGTGTTAGTTTATGATGCATGAGCGTTGTTGCTACTTATAGGTGAATTACAAGAAACTAGAGTGAATGTTATTTGGTGATACATGAGTGTTGCAAGTTATGGGTGAGTGTTACTTGGAACTCAAGTGAATAGTATTTGATGACGCGCAAATGTTGCTAGTTATAGGTGAGTATTGCTTGACACTATTATAGTTAATGTTATTTGGTGATACATGAGTGTTGCTAATTATAGGTGAATGTTATTAGAAACTCGAGTGAATGTTATTTTTTAATACACGAGTGTTGCTTGATGGAAGGTGAGTGTCACAAAGTGATAGATGACTATAGGCATATACACATGTATATTGCTTATGTATGTTACACTTGACCTTGATGTAATATGCATATTTAGGTGAACATGGCACTGTAACAAGCAAATGAATTGGCTATACGTATCCTAAGGACACATTTCTAGTTTCTTTCAAAACAAGGAAGTATAATTGGTTTGGTCCTATAAAGGGTAACAAGCATTCGAAATAGGCAAAAAAAAAACACTTTCAAATATCATTAATTTGTGTATTATTGATGACTTTTGATACAGCAATGGATGGAAAATAACAAAGCTTTGAAATTGTTATTCCTTGGATGACCATATATTGGATGACCATACTTTTACATATTTAAATTGTTTAATTGTGGTGATTAGGGTCTGTCTTAGCTACATGTAAGGAGTTGAAAACATTTGAACATTTCCATCTTTCAATTTAAAACAATTTTTTTTTTCCAAAAGATGCAGGACCCTAGGGTTCCTTTTTGCGGATTCTCCACAAAAAACAGTAGGGAATGACTGCAACATCTTCTGTGTTTTCTTTTTTCAGATCGTCAATTATTACTATCAAATGTGACAGAGGGACAACAGGGAAGTTCACATCCGGTTATGAAGGACCCCAAAATACATACGTAAGTTTATAAGCATTGAAGTGGGAACTCTGACCTATCCCACAAGCCCACAGTGGTAAAGGGAAATTAAAGTTGTTACAGTTTCTCAGCCAAGATACACTGTCTCCCCATTATACCATGCCCCGTTATAACGCTAACCTCACTATAACGCTCATAGGCCCATTAGCGTTATATGTATCAGCAGTGGGTGGGGTTATGCGGTTATTTCAGGATGGTCACGGCACCAACATCGAGAATCGTAATAGTGTAGTATAAGACTATGTCTTTTCAGGTTCAAACCTTTATTGTAATATACAAACATAACGCAAACAGGATGTTTAAAAAAATAAATCTAAACATTTCTGCTGATACAGCCTTTATTTTTAAGTTAATGTCTTTCATGTTTATAATAGTCATACCAAGGGAGGTCCTCTTCCTTTTCCTTTAGTTAGGGGTCATTTGGGTCAAGGTCACCAATGTCAAAAATAGATTTTTTTACACTTTTACAGGTGTATTAACCTTATTCTATTGACAGATGTCTTGTATATTTTGTAGGAACATAAAATTGAGGTATTCTCATTTGGATGGAAGTAGGGGTCAGTCGGGTCAAGGTCACCAGTGCTAAAAAATAGATTTTTACACTTTTGCTCATACAGCCTTTATTTATTGACAGATTTGTATTATAATTGGTAGGAAGATAACTTACATGGTATTCTTCCTTTGGATGGAGTTAGGGGTCAGTTGGGTGAAGGTCAACAGTGCTAAAAATAGATTTTTACACTTTTGCCCATACAGCCTTTATATATTGACAGATTTATTTCATATTTGGTAGGAAAATAAGTTGCATGATAATCTTTCTCTGGATGGAGTTGGGGTCAGTTGGGTCAAGGTCACCAGTGCTAAAAATAGTTTTTTTACACTTTTGCCCATACAGCCTTTATTAGCTCACCTGTCACAAAGTGACAGGGTGAGCTTTTGTGATCGCTTTTTGTCCGGTGTCCGTTCGTTGTCCGTCCGTCGTCCGTAAACTTTTACTTTAAATGACATCTTCTCATAAAACACTAAGCCAATTTCATCCAAACTTCACAGAAATGTTCCTTTGGTGGTCACCTTTGAAAATTGTTCAAAGAATTTAATTCCATGCTGAACTCTGGTTGCCATGGCAACCAAAAGAAAAAACTTTAAATATCTTCTTCTAAAAAACCCAAAGAGCTAGAGCTTACATATTTAGCATGAAACATCCTCTAATGGATGTCTACCAAGTTTGTTCAAATAAGAGCCCTGGGGTCAAAATTGGCCCTGCCCCGGGGGTCATTGATTTTCCTTATATGTGTATAGCAAAAACTTAAAAAATCTTCTTTGAAAAAAAAACGAATAGCTAGAGTTTAGATACTAAGCATGAAACATCTTCTAGTGAGTGTCTACCAAGTTTGTTCTTATAAAAGCCCTGGGGTCAAAATTGGCCCGGCCCGGGGGACATTTATTTTCCTTATATGTGTGTAGCAAAAACTTAAAAATCTTCTTTGAAAAAATCCGAATAGCTAGAGTTTAGATATTAAGCATGAAACATTTTCTAGTAAGTGTCTACAAAGATTGTTCAAATAAAAGCCCTTGGGTCAAAACTGGCCCTGCCCCAGGTGTGTCATTGTTTTTAACTATATGTGTAAAGAAAAAACTTGACCAGCTAGACCTTAGATGTTTAGCATGAAACATCTTCTAATGGGTGTCTACCAAGTTTGTTCAAATAAAAGCCCTGGGATTTAAACTGGCCCCGCTCCGGGGGCCTATATACAGGTGAGCGACTTCAGGGCCATCATGGCCCTCTTGTTTTAAATATTGTTACTGACAAGAATCTGAGCGGGGGGCATTTGTGTTTAACAAACACGTTCTTGTTTTTCATATTTTGTCCATTGTATGATATAGAATATTGACCAACCCAAAATGGTTGCATTTTTTGGCAAGGGAGGTAAATATTGTGAAAAGCAGGAATTATTTATATCAACAGAGCTTAATATATCTGTGCTATATTATATATCTACAGAATTTTGAGCTACACACACAGTATGCATGTTTTGGCAGCTCGGGAGGAGGTGGCACACCCAGTAAGAAGATTAGCACTGGATCTGTATTACTTATTTTGTAAGAGTTTAAATCATTCTTTAAATTGACATTATGCTCATTTTTAGCTCAACTGTCACAAAGTGACATGGTGAGCTTTTGTGATCGCTTTTCGTCCAGCGTCCGTCCGTCCGTAAACTTTTACTTAAAACGACATCTCCTCATAAACCGCCAATTTCATCCAAACTTCACAGGAATGCTCCTTTGGTAGTGAACTTTAAAATTTGTTCAAAGAATTTAATTCCAAGCAGAACTCTTGTTGCCATGGCAACCGAAAAAAAACAACTTAAAATATCTTCTTTTAGAGAACTGTAAGAGCTAGAGCCCGAGAGGGTCATTGTTTTTCCCTTTATGTATAAAGTAAAACTTAAAAAATCTTCTTTAAAAAAACCTTTAGAGTTAAAGCTAAGATATTTAGTATGAAACATCTTACATTTTCTAATGAATGTCTACCATTTTTGTTCAAATAAGGGCCCTGGGGGTAATAATTGGCCCCGCCCCGGAGATCATTGATTTTCCTTATATGTATATAGTAAAATCTTAAAAAATCTTCTGTTAAAATACCCAAATAGCTAGAGTTTAGATATTAAGCGTGAATTATCTACTAGTGAGTGTCTATCAAGTTTGTTCAAATAAAAGCCCTGGGGACAATAGTGGCCACGCCCAGAGGGGGGTGTCATTGTTTTTCCCTATATGTGTATAGTAAAAACTTAAAAAATCTTCTTAGAGCTACAGCTTAGATATTTATCATGAAACATCTTCAAATGGGTGTCTACCAAGTTTGTTCAAATAAAAGCCCCTGGGTTAAAATTGGCCCCGCCCCCGGGTGGCCTATATACAGGTGAGCGATTTCAGGGCCATCATTGCCCTCTTGTTTCACTGTCAAAATGAGTTGAATTAGTTATATATTTCGAGAGATTGATTATTATAATGGTGATTGAACAATAATTAATTGATCATGAAAATTGTTTAGGATAAAATATAAAACTTGCTAAATTATAAAAAGACGGCCCACTCTTTTTAAAAAAAAAAAATTATTTTCTTTATATTTTAAAATTGAACACATTTGTGGCAAAATGTAAAGTTTTTAGACATGAACATGTGTACTACAATTTATACATGGTTAGGCATGATGCCACTGTAATATAAAGGTACTTGTGTTCAGTGGCAAATATTGTGTCATCTAACATTATCATATTGTCTAAATAAATTGTGTAAGGTTGAGGGCATTTTACTTTATTCTGTAAAATACATTAAAGGAACTCCACTGAGGTCTAAAGGCCTAAAACATATTTGAAAATCTCAAAAATATCAAGTGAAGCACTTAAAATGGTACACTTTATAAATGATAACACAGAAATATATTCAGAATTTATTGAAAAAATTGATTTTTAGTGCAATTATTAGCCTGATTTGAGTGAAAAGCATTTCATTTTTGTGTTAATTTGCACAATAAAATGATTATTCGGGAAAACAGGTTAAGTAATGACTTGAAAATTTGCATGCAAGTTATTTGTGCAGACCTTTATCAATATGTCCACAAATCTCGGAAAAATATTTTCAGTCCCATGACGTCAAAAAAAATGTCAGTGGAGTCCCTTGAATGCATAATTGAAAAAAACATACATTTATCATGCAGTTTTTAGCTCGACTTTTCTATGAAAAGGGGAGCTATCCTACTCGCCCCGGCGTCGGCGTCGGCGTCGGCGTTGGCGTCACACCTTGGTTAAGTTTTTCGTACCACCCCACTTTATTTCAGAAGTATTACAAGTATGGCTTTGAAACTTACCATACTTGTTCACCATCATAACCTCCATCTACAGACAAGAGTACATAACTCTGTCAAGGTTTTTGACAGAATTATGGCCCTTTTTTGACTTAGAAAGTGTATTGAGCTTGGTTAAGTTTTTTGTACCACCTCACTTTATTTCAAAACCATTGGAGGTATTGCTTTGAAACTGACCATACTTGTTTACCATCACGACCTTCATCAACAGACAAGAGGACATAACTCTGTCAAGGTTTTTGACAGAATTATGCCCCTTTTTGACTTAGAAAATACATTGAATATGGGTAAAATCCACTTATTGCCTTAACCCTTTGAGATATTGCTTTGAAACTTTTAATGCTATTTCACATCATTACCCCATCTGTACGCAAGAGAAGGTAACTCTGTCAAGGATTTGTTTTAAAAATTAAGGCCTTTTATCGACTTAGAATCTTGGTTAAGTTTTTAGTACCAGTCCACTTTTTGACTGAACTGTTTGAGATATTAATTTGAAAGTTGGAATACTTGTTTACAATCATGATTCCCAAACATGTCCAGGAGAAGGTAATTCTGTCAAAGATTTTATTTGAATTATGGCCCTTAACTGTCAATGTTTTGTATTATAGGCAAGCACTAAAAAACTTAAAAAATCTAAAAAAATTCATTCCTATCCACTTGTTCACTTTACCATAAATTATGTCATATAAACATTGCTGTAATATTCAAGGGTATCAAACAACTAGTTATTTTTCTCTTTTTGTACTTGAAATTAAAATCAGTAGTATATGCATATTTCACATACCTTATTCTCTCAAAGTGGGTTTAATACTATTAAATTTATTTAAGGCTCAACTCAGTTTTTTTTTCTTTCTTACCAGCCCTCTTTTGACTTAAACATTTCAAACTTTGCTGCAGTGTTCAAGGGTATCACACAATTCAGTAAAATAATTCTTCACTAAATATCTTAATGCTCATGGCCATTGTTCACTTTAAAAATACAGAGATTCTTGTATTGCCTTTTACTGCAAAAACTTTTTTTATTGGCAAGCAATAAAAAAGTCGAGCGCGCTGTCTTACGGACAGCTCTTGTTTATAGAGCTGTCATTGATCCTGTGCAAAGCATATCAACTATACATCGATATCTGATAACAAATATCAGCGATACACCGATATATCGATATATACTCCTATGTATATAATTCTCTTTCATACCTGTTTAAATGATTTTAGAACCGCCTCCGTGGTCGAGGGGCTAGAGTCAATGACTTCTAATCCAGTTACCTCTCTGGCGTGGGTTCGATCCCCGGGAGATGCTTTGGTAGTTTAGCGCGGAGGAAGGTAGTCTAGTACTGGTGTAACTCTCCAGGAACGATGGTTAGGAAACTACCCGCCTATATGACTGAAATACTGTTGAAAAAAGGCGTAAAATGAAACAAAACAAAAAACAAACAAAACAAAATGATTTTAGTAAAACATATGTTCTATTCATACATCTATGTTGTGCCTGTTTATTAATTTTGTTTGCTAACAAATTTTTGTCATCACTGCAATATGTAACAACAGCTTAGTGTAAGACATGGCCACCAGCTTTTGTATATATTTTGGGTGAATTTTCATAATTCATAGACATTTAAATAATGAATCATAACTGTCAATTTTTTCAAATGTTTATCGATTATTGAATCGACAGAAAAAAATCAACAATACATCAATATCATCTCTATCATTGACAGCTCTAGTTTTTAATGAACATAAAACAATTCTGTAAGTAAATATGATCTATGATTCATTCTCAATGGAACCTCATTTTGTATGTATGTTTATGCATGAAGTAGTTTCCATTTTGGAAAGTCTCTTTATAAGTGAAATATTTCGTTTTTATAATGATTACTGTTTAAATAGTGCAACATTACAATTTTTCAATTGGAGTATTCCATTTTTCTTTGATTGCTTGTAACCTTAATCGCCAAATGTTTGTCAAAATGCTGTAAAACATAAATACTTAAGGTTATGGTTACCTATATTCATAAACCCTGTATAATAGTTTACTTTAACTTTACTATTTCAGATTCTTTGTGTTTTTGGGAATCTATTTTATTGGTGGTATGTTATTTCTGAAATTTGCCCGAGGAGCACAAGGCACGGAGATGGTACCAAATTACGACTTCTGGTCCTCATTGCCTGGTTATATCAAGGTAAGTTTGCTGTACATTTAATATGCTTAACTCAAAAGAGGTTTGCAACAAGTATAAAGGAAAGTTAGTCTGAAAGTCCATGTAATCTGACCAGGTTCTTTCAATTTTTTTTATGCCCCTGAAGGGCTGAATATTAAAATTTCATTGTCTGTCTGTCCGTCTGTCATGCATTTTATTTTTAAAATAACGTAGCACAAATGTCCACCACACCCAGAGTCTTAGGCCCTTTATGTCACTACCTAAAAGGTCAAGGTCACACTTACAGTTTGAAAGTTCACATTTTCGCAAAAGTTTAAAGGTACTCACATTTGTGTCTGGACTGTTACTGTCCTGCATGGAAGGATTTTAAAAAAAAATAGCATATATGAGATGATGTGTCTGCGTGCAAGATAATGTCCCTACCTCCAAGGTCAAGGTCACACTTGTAATTTGAAGGTATTCATTCTTACAAGAAAAGGTTGAAGGTACACATTTGTGTCTGGACTGTAACTTTGTTATGCATTGAAGGATTTTTTAAATAACTTGGCATTTATGTCTACCACATCAAAAAGATGTGTCTTGCCTAAAACCCATGTTTCTGCCTCCAAGGTCAAGGTTGTAAGTTTGCTATAAATAGCACATCATTTCACAAGAAAATAGTTATAGCAATTTGTTACTTTTATTCTCTTTTCTTTTCATAACACCTTTCTGCACTACTTACAAAACATTGTTTGGGGGCATTCATCATGTTTGCCTGACAGCTCTTGTTATATTTTATATTCATATTCTTTTAAATTTGAATGCACTGGTCCAAATTCTAAGGAGAGCTAATCCATAACATATTGAGGTTGTTTTATAACTTGAAGCTCAACTATTGGAAATTTTGCCAGACTTTATTACTTCCCTTGATGATGTCATAGCAGTTTCTCTTCCAAGTTATGTCATATCCCATTTTTGGAACTAAATATTGCGCATTTTGATAAGAATTTTACAAGAATCTTTCTTTCATTTTAATCCTGCTTTGAAAGAATATTTGTAATGCTTTGTATATAGTAAATTGTTCATGTTTATATAAGCATATCTATTATGAGAAAGAAAAAAAAACAATGGTTCAATTAATATTGCACATCAAGTTTGTCTTGTACCAAATGACTGCTACCGTGGAGGGGTAATCTATTATTGCACCTGTATGGCTTGTCAAAGTCGAAACTAGACTCGCACCCTTGGTTGGATTCCAAACACTTCTTACAGTTTTCCTTAAACCACTTTGTCTCAATTGTTAGGGCTATGTGTGAAATTTCATATACACTAACAAAGATGTGCACTTCAAATAATTTGCTTCTCACTTTTGTGGTTAAGAATCCAGTTAAAGACTTTGAATTCTTTCATGTGTGAAAGTTTTCCCGCTATCCAGGTAACCTTGTGCCTGAATTAATGGATGGAAAGTTACCATATGGCTATTAATACAGTGTCAATGGGATTATAAAAAAAAAACAATAAAAATCACCAGTTATCGTGCAAGGTCATATAGAGGGTCAAATCCAGTCTGGATGACCTACCCGTTTATTTGGAACCATTGCTATTACCAAGATGATTTAATATTTTCTGGTTATAATACAGTCGGGTTTTAATATATTTGAGTTATAATATATAACCAGTATAGTGTATTACCATTATGATATATCATACTTACTATATATTCCAGTTATTGTATATTCTGGTTATAATACCATTATAATATATTACTATCATAACATATTCCGGTCATACAGTTATTGTATATTCTGGTTATAATACCATTGTAATATATTACTATCATAACATATTCCGGTCATATATATTGAGGTTATATTTATTTTCAGGATGGAATAACTTTTACCTGCAGAGGTTGTAAAACAGAATCATCCTATTCCCAGATATGAAGCCATGAAACCAAAGTGCTTTACTCACATGTGATCAGTTTTGTAGAATCCAGATTTTTAGATCCAGATAAATTGCAGACACTTTTCATCCTATGCCATCCTGAATAATGTTTATGTACATTTTGTAATCAGCTTCCAACTTTGTTCTACATGCATAATTATACTCTATTCATTTGACTGCATCTGAGATGCACAGATCATGTTAAATGTTCATTGTACCTCATCTGAGATATACAGATAATGTTAAATGTTTAGTTTATCTCATCTGAGATACACAGATCATGATAAATGGTCATTTTACCTCATCTGAGATATACAGATAATGTTAAATGTTTAGTTTATCTCATCTGAGGTACACAGATCATGATAAATGGTCATTTTACCTCATCTGAGGTATGCAGATAATGTTAAATGTTTAGTTTATCTCATCTGAGATACACAGATCATGTTAAATGGTCATTTTACCTCATCTGAGATATACAGATAATGTTAAATGTTTAGTTTATTGCATCTGAGATACACAGATATAGAAAATGTCTTTTTTTACCCTATCTTAGATGACTGATCATGTTAAATGTAGATTTTTACCCTATCTTAGATGACTGATCATGTGAAATGTTTATTTTTGCTCATCTGAGATACACAGGTCATGTTTCATACTCGTATATCTGAGATAGATGGATCATTTTAAATCGGAATCATAATTAAGTTTCATTGAACCAGAATCTGAGATGCACAGATCATAAAAAATAAAATATTTTAGATTTTTATTTTATCTCATCTGAGATGCACAGATCAATATATATATATATATATATATATATATATATATGTTCATTTGACCTTATCTCACATTGACATGCATGTTACAGATACACCTAACAACATCACCTCATTATTATCTTTTATGCTTTTGGACATGATTTATTATAAGGTATGATTATGTGGGTGTAAGTGGTAATTCAGGGACCATTCATTTGATATCCCTATTATAGACTTAGCTTTGCAGTGTGAAATTGTCCCTTTATTGGCCTCCATATCTATATTTATTTGAATGAAAATTTAGGAATTAGGTCTGAATAGCAAAAACTTGCGATCTAACATAGACTTAGTCATTTTGAAATAATGAAACTCACCCATGTTGGATACATCAGTTTAATGATAAGAATTGTGGAAAGTAGAAATCTCTCAAAAGCAATGAAAACTTAAAAAAAAAGTAGTAGAACATAACAGATTTTGTTTTTCTAATATCAATTCATGGGAAGTAATCCAATGTGCAATATCTTCAACTCCACAAATACTGTACAAGTGGATATTTTACGCTAGTCGAACAGTAAGTGAATTTAAAATTCCAGACATTTCATGTGAGGCAATATTAGCAAGTCATGCAAGGGTAGAATTTAATGACAGGTTGGTTGGTATTTACAGTTCAGGAAGTTTTAGCGATTTTCGTCAAATCATGAAATTTGCCAATATTTCTGTGCCTTGCTAACTTAACCACTTACACAGTAATCACCAAAGTAACCAATCTTTAAAACTATGAGTATTGGAATTGAATAATACCAAAGGATCAAGCCTAGTTGACTACAAAATCAGGGCTCAGGAGCTTTAAGTATTTGTAGAAACTAATCTGGTTTATAAAGTGTTTGTAAAAGACAAAGTCAGTACATATTACTCATCAATACTATAGTTTATTACAAACTGTATTTTTCTTGAATGTAAACTTTTTTAAAAACTTGGACACTGTTGAAATTATTGTCTAAAATTACTTCTAAGCATGCAAGGAAGAAATAGCACTGGTATTAAAAAGATGAAAGCAAGCTTGCTTGATTAATCACTCCTTGTTTCTATTTGAAATGAATAATCAGTAATTAAGTTTAAAGGAAAACAAAGAATTTTTCATATATTTTCAACTCTCAGTGTTTTTTGTTGTTATTTTGTGTGTGTGTGTTTTGTTTTGTTTCATTCTTTAAAAATCTCATTTTCTATGTAATATTTATTTTTATATATAGTTTGACATTGTTTATGTGACTGTTTTTATTTTTTGATATTAGATCTGCATGAAAATTTTGTTTTCACAGTGTTTAGATCTTTTTCTTTTTTTTCAACAATATATTTTTGTTTCATTTCGATGTTTTGAAAATTTGTTAATGTGATTTTAGGTGACAGCTTAGAGTATCAAAGAAAAAGAATCTGCCCATAGATCTGACTTTATTGATATATTTTTAGGTCGTCTGTTTCGGAGAAATAAGTTGAACCATAAAATCCCAGGGGCGTTGGTATCGTTGGTGTTGTGCAAAATCCTTAAATGAAGCCCATTATTCAAGAATTTTAAAAGTTATCAACATGCAACTTGGAATACTTACTTATCACATCAAGGTGCAGTTGTAAGACAAGGGGCATAATTCTGACAGCAATATTTTTGGACAGTTATGCCCCTTTATACCTTAGAATTTTTAACAGACGAGCGTTATCACCACATGCATTGTTATTGTTTTTACATTTCAATGTTTGGCAATATTTACACTTCTTAGATCTTGATATTATTTCTTATACTGTATTTTATTTGTAGTATGATATATCAAAAAGCAATTTCTAGAACAAAAGAAAATACAAAATTTGATTGAAACTTGTCTTACTTATCAGATATAGAAGTTTTTATTTCCTTTTTTTCTTTTCATCAATATTGATATATAGAAAAGATAGTTTAATTAATTGGAATATTTTTCTTTCTGTTTTTATTATTAATTTTGATTTATAAAAAAAGTTAGCTTGATTAATAGTAATATGTTTTTGTCTGTTTTCGTTTGATGATTTTTATTCTGAAGTGATCTTTATATAATCTCAAATTGATTAATTTAGCGAGTAAAGAACAAAACTTTATACATGTATATAGATGTGTGCATTATCCATATTCTGCATCTCATAGAGTTGGGAAGTGATGTCAGCAAAATGATGTCATAATTTTTTTTTAAGGGAAAATGTCATTTATAATTTACTGTTACAGTAAACAGATATTTTTCATAATTTTCCAAGTAAAATGTCATTTTTTGTAACATTTTTATGCACTGTACTCTATGAAATCATCATTTAGCAAAACCACTGGTGTTAAAATTCAATATAGATATGATACACAAAAGTTGTAAATATCTGAAAAAATATGATCCCTTGGAAGCATTGAAATCAGCAAAATTATATGAAAACTGCTGACTCGATTTGATGAGTCTTTACATGAGTGATAATGAAAATGTGTAATGTCCCTTATTACCCCTCAGCTTCAGCTTGAGTTATACTCAATTTTCAGCGCTTAAAACTGCTGGAATCAATTTTCAATTATTCCAAAGGACCAGAAAAATGTAAACAACAAGGACCAAATTTTATAGGACGCAGCTACCTACAAGATAAAATGGACATGACTATATTCACTAAATGACAATAAGAAAATTGACATTGACAAGTGTTTTATGTGATTTACAAGTGTCTGAATTCACTATGAGGTATTGGAAATATCAATTTTTTCGCTAGGACTTTGTTGGTAATCAAGTTTTTCTTTTTTTTTATGAGGAAAAGACAATTATCATGACAGATCTAGAATAGCTTTATGAGCTGGCCAATATTTTTTATCTCAAATTGATTTCGGATTGTCAATGTTTTATCTTAAATTAGTATTATTGGATTTTCTGAATACATTACTTCCAGCTTATGAAACACAGAATAATAGTTTGATTGGAAAAAATGCAGAATATTTCCTTTGTATATATGTTATTTTTGAATGTCTCTCTTTAACATTCATTTATTTTGCTAATTGTATTGTTAACTTGCTGATTATATTTGTTTACTTGCTAATTGTATTTTTTGCTTGCTGGTTGTCTTGTTTACTTGCTGATTATATTGTTTACTTGCTGATTGTTTTGTTTACTTGCTGATTATATTTGTTTACTTGCTGATTGTATTTGTTTACATTCTAATTGTATTTGTTAACTTGTTTATTGTTTTGGTTACTTGCTGATTGTATGTGTTTACTTGCTGATTGTATTTATTAACTTGCTAATTATATTGTTTACTTGCTTATTGTTTTGTTTACTTGCAAATTGTTTTGTTTACTTGCTGATTCCATTCTTTATTTGTATATGCAAATATGTAATAACTTAGATGATTAAGCATACCTGTTTTAAAGAAAGTTTTTTTGTAGAATTGGAAATTTTTTTTAACATTCCAAAAAACTATTTTTTTTGCCCCGGGGATATAGGGAATTGAAAACCCTCCCTCCGGGTTTTCCTCTGTCCCCAGAGGGTTTAACCTTTGAATGGCAAGTTTGGGTTTTTCTTAAATTCTACCGTTACCAAAGGCTTTTAAGTTTACGACACTTAATAATCAATTACAAAGTAAATGAATCTGGGTCAAGTTACATAACTATGGCTTCCATTTTACCAGGTTATTGCCCTTTTCGCCTTAGAAATGAACTTAATGGTTAACCTAAAACGGCAATTTTGGAAATATCTTTAATTCCTAATCATACTAATGGCTTTCATAATTTTCAAACACTTATCAAAACAAATTAACATGAATATTGGCGAAAGTTTTATATTAATAATGGTCATCCATTATTTTCCTGTTATTTCCTTTTTCACTTGAAAATAGGGGCCCTTGGCCTGGTTTAACCTTTGCGGCATAGTTGGATTTGTGGTAAATTTATTTAATAATCTTAATTTATTTAATGAATATTGCAATATTTAGTAGGTGATACTTTAAATGTCCTCAATTTTTGTGGAGTAAGTGGCTTCTGAGGGTCAAGGTCACTGGTTTAGAAAATTAATTTAAACATTTTTTGCTCATACAGCCTTTATTTTTTGGTTGATGTCTTTCATGTTTAATACAAACATGCAAGGGAGGTCCTCCTTCTTTAGGTATATGTAAGAGGTCATTTGGGTCAAGGTTAATGTCACCAATGTCAAGGTCACCAATGTTAAAAATAGATTTTTACCTTTTTACAGGTGTTATTAATCATATTCTATAGACAGATGTCATTTATAATTGATAGGAACATAAAATTTGATGGAGTTAGTGGTCAGTTGGGTCAAGGTCACCAGTGCTAAAAATAGATTTTTACACTTTTGCTCATACAGCCTTTTATTTATTGACAGATATATTTTCATATTTGGTAGGAAGATAACTTGCATGGTATGTATCCTTTTGATTTGGGTAGGGATCAGTGTGTCAAGGTCACTAGTGCTAAAAATAGATTTTTACAC